ATATGTCTGAACCGTTACAACTAACCGAGGTGAAAAATTCAAAATATAGAACTTTTTTGAAAAATTTATAACATCAGACTGAATTATCTATGAAACGTTATATTAAAACTCTATTGTTACGTAGAATCTTTCCTTTTGCATTGATTTTCTCTATTTATGCCATTCACAAACAACACATTGGTTCTCACATTATCACTCACAGTTATAATGATCGTCTACGCTATAAGGGCTTGATCAAAAAATACATGAGTCTTCAAACCGTTTTGAGATATTCATTAGATTTCCTATTTTCATAGTGGTCCTTTGTGAACAAATATGAAACCAAAATGGGTATCTCTTTCAAATTCTTCCGATTTATTCTTGTACTCAGCGCTACAAACGGACTCGCAGGTGAATTTAATTGTTTTGATTCGAAAAAATGATATAATTCGACAATATTTGTATTGTGGATTTGATAGTGGTGACGTACAAAAAGGAAACTTAATTGTTTATAGTGAATCTCGTTCGGTAGAATATGAGGCAGCTAACATTCAATGCACACTACCATTAGACAGTAAATATCAAATTAGAAAAGTGTTTTTGTTCCATCCACCTACACAATCCTATACTAAATACATTAAAATTGAAACATCAGAATTAGTGAATAATGACTCAGTTGTACTCTGCGTACAACCTCTCTCAGGAACGTATTATACATCAGTGGACGTTCTTCAGTTTATTGCCTATTACAGTATTCACGGCGCATCGAAATTTTACTTTTATAATCAATCAATTACAGACGAAATATCACGGCTACTGTTGAAAATGAATAAAGTAGTGGAAATATTGCCCTGGAATATTCTTGAACTCTTACCAAATCATCAATACGGTGTCACATTTTGGCATTACGCTCAAAAAGCTCAAATACACGACTGTCTATTGAGAAATCAAGCAAGTGTGATTATTAACGTTGATATCGATGAGTATATAGTTCCATTGAAAGCTGAAGATTTAAAAACATATCTTATAAAGCAGAAAAAGGAAGATCAAACGAATCTGATTATCGGCTCGGTTCTTTTTCCAAAACGACTAAATATTGATATCGGACAAAATCAACTAAAATTATTTCATCATTTTTACCGTACTCAGCTTCCATGGTGGCACAGATCAAAAGTAATTGCTTTACAACCGAAATTCATTAAACACCAAGATATTCACATTGTAATGCAACACGAACCAGCTCGAATGTCAACTCTGGTTTCAGCTGACACATTACTGATTTATCACTATCGAGAATGGGGAGTGTTAAATGACAACATGATCAACGACACACTAATGCTTAAATTTAAAGAAAAAATAGTAAAGTTTTCTCACGAATATAATCGAAATATTCGGCAAGATTTTCCGAGATTCATTGGTTTCTTTTTGCGTCTTTAAAATAAAGCAAAAAATATCTGTTGTTATAAATTTTTCAAAAAAGTTCTATATTTTGAATTTTTCACCTCGGTTAGTTGTAACGGTTCAGACATATAGTCATCGTTGAGAAGGCACGACATCTACAAGTTAGTGCCCAAGCTTAAAAGTAGTGTATGAGGACAAGTTAATAATAAGAGGTTCACATGCGTCTTTTGATTGGCGAAATTTATCAACAACCAAATTCTGTCTTAGAAACAGACACATTCCAGCAATGTTACGGTAAATGTGTAGCATTTCGGGACAATGAATTGCAAAGCTAGCCAAAACGTGCAATTTCCCTTTTTGTTTTTTGCTAAAAAGAACACGAGCTTCACTGTTTGTTAGCTATTCTATGCTTATTGTATCTAGTCTGTGAACGTCATTATGAGATCTTATAAGGATCATGTATTCTGCTTATCTTTGTACAGTTTTAGTATTATCGAACGATGATCCCCGCTAAGATTTAGATATATATAAAAGAGTATAACAAGTATAAACAAATAAGAAAAAGACGAAGTAAACAACAACAGGGCCGCAGACAACGGGAGGATGTGGGAGGGTGCGCACCCTCTGAATAATTGAAAAAGTTACTGTTAGCTTACCCATTCTATCTTGAACGAAATTTTTTTATGTATTTCGCATTACCTCGGAAAGTAAAACTGTTGTACAGCCCCAGCGGCGTCTATTCCCACCTAAGTATTTGAGGCCTAAGAGATTCGAGCTTTCAGTGTACCACCTGGAAAATAAATTTTTACAGCAAAAAAGCGTCCCACCTACTTTGTTTCAAGTCTTGTGCCTCAAACATCCCACAGGATAGGCGCCCCTGTACACCCCCTAATGTTCGGTTCCTATTTGCGGCTCTGAACAACAACTACCGACATCGATTGAATTCAAAAAAATAGAAGTGACAAAAAAAAGCAAGCTAAGTAAAAAATAACAATCAACTGTTGAAGATATGGTTAAATAATGTTCTTTTAAAGGACAAAAGTGAAGAGGAAGAAATAACTGACTGTGTAAGATTATTCCAGTCAGTTACTGTAGACCAAAAAAAGAAGATTTTATAGTTTTAGAAAAAAAACTTTGTGTAAGAGGTGGAATACGAGCATATTTGGCGTGTTCGTGACTAGGAAGAGGGAAATTAGGTAGTTGTATTGATAGGTTTTATAGAGATGAATAAGACAAAAATATTTCCGACGTTTGGAGAGATTTGGTAGAGAAAGTTGAGAAGCTAAGTCAGAACCACGAACACAGTAATTAAAATGCTAAAGAATGATTCACAGACTCAGGAATAGAAAGAGAAAAATAATTATCATACGGAGCACAACAAGAATCAAGTTTGGGGAGGATACAAGACAAATAGATTCGACATCGTACTTCAGGTGGCGCCAGAACAAAGATACGCCCCAAGCCTCAAGCTTACGCCTGCAGCTCAGAGTAATATCCTCACCCTTATAAATTCATCTTAGATCGTGCGAAAGGAGAACACCAAGGCAACAGTAAAAGAAGAGTTATTTAAGTAGAGCTGCTTGAAAGCAAGAGAAAAAAAGATTAAATCAAAAAGGAAGCTAGCAACGTTTTGAACCATTCAAAGATATTCACATAAAAGAAGACCAGTTAGAAACAGAACTGATACAGTTTTGAACGTGAGAAAATTCTGAGGATTAGAAGAACCAAGAGGAACAATAAGAAAAACATCAGCAGCAAATAGACAAGTACCACAGTTACGAGAAAGAGGAAGTTGAAAATCAAAAAGGCAATGGCCCAAGGACACTTCCTTGTGGTACATTGGACGAGATATCAGAAGAAGAAGAGGTAGAATTATTAACAAGAGCACATTGAGAACGATGAGGGAGATGTGATGAAGAAGAACAAACAAACTATCAGTTATCAGTTTTAAAACGATTTCACTGCGTACGTTAAGCCGAACGTAAGGTGATATTAGTTCATTAAACACACACATCCTTCTACTCAGAATTGCGCAAGTCCGGTAGTTTTTCAGTCCCAGTTCGCTAAGCTTGAAGTTCTATGTCGGCCACACCATACATTGTTTTCCATTTCCATTCTTTTTCTGCTTTTTTATCAGAGAGAAACTGGTTCTTCTGTAAAAAGTCAGTCAAAAAAAAGTTTAGGTCTCTTATGCCTTCAGTCTCAGTCCGAACTTGGGCTTGCCCATCTCTGCTTCTACTGATATCAAGCAGAAAAGTACACATTTCACCTTTGCAGAAAACTGCAAAAGTAAGCTGTGCACTTTCTGCTTGTTTATACCATGTAGGACGTTGTGGAAGATATAAGCAGAAAATGCACGATTTACTTTTGCAGTTTTCTACAAAGATGAAATGTGTGTTTTTCTGCTTGATATCAGTAGAAGGATTGTTGTTGTGTGTTTAATGAACAAATTATTAGTTATACCACAACGAGATATTTTTCAAGAAGAAAAGAATGAGTTCAACGACTTCATCCTGGGCAAGTTTGGTACAAGAGACAGTGGAATTTGACCTTGAAGATTAGAGAAATAGGAAGTAAAATGAGAATTAAAACGACTGGCTTTGCCGAAATCAGAAGAAACACTGGAGGAATCGAGATACATTGATTTGTGGAAGAGAGGAATGAGAAAATTTTTTTTAATAACTCCAAAATTTTTTAGGATGAGAAAAATGGCTAGTAAGAGAATGAAAATAGAAAGTTTTTTCAATCACTTCGAGTCATTCTATAAGCACTTCATTCATTTCATTACGTCGGTTCTACCTTGATGACTGCTACTGGATAGTTTAAATCTCATCAAGAAAATTATTAGAAGGATGTTCGTTTCCATCATTTCGTTGTGATTGTTTATATCGTAGATCTAAATCATCTTTATAATGAATGTGTTTGAATGTGACCTGGGAAAATGGCATAATGATTTTGTTTAGCGTACGAACAATTTTTCTATTGAGAAAGTGCGTTAGGAACATGTTGCTGAAAAGGCCTTTCTGGAATCAGTTGATGTATGTCAAGCACAGCCAAGTTCTGCTGTTGTCGTCTGAGACGTATTCGTAGATCAACCATGGTTGTTTGTGTGATCGTATGGAACATCGGTGCAGCATGACAATACTGTGGTCGTCCATTCACCTGTATCTTCACGCTTTAAATGCGCTTTCCGAGGCCTCTTCGCAAGTGAAATTTGTTGAGCGACCGATATATGTTGAAATGACGATTGCGAACTACTTTCTTGAGTTGTACGCTTTCTCTGATAGAGTCCTAGCATGCGTGCATCTGATCTTGAAGATGAAAAGGTAGTTGTAATGGTAACGATCAGTTTGATATTTCTAACTGTTGTATAGTATATTCATTATTTAGTGTGAGTACGTTAATTGAAAGAAATAGTTGAATATTTTGCGGTTGATTTTGCTGTGAAACATTTTTACATTTGTCTCTTATCCTCTTAAACATGGCGAGGGCATTATCTATTTTTGTTGAAACTCATATATTTGCCTTGTCGCTCTCAACATCATTATTATTCATTAAAGAGAAGAAATTTACTGAATTGTTGGATTTTATTGGAAAAAGCGTTTTTGTTTAAGATTTTTACTATATTCTAGACGGCTACAACTTTTCAACACCATTTCATTCATCTCAGAAATACATTTCACTCTTCTTTCAGTTAAATATTCTCTCTATTAGAAAATTTGTTATGATTAAGTAAAGGGCGTTGTTCAAAGAATTCTTTAGTCAACAGAAATTGAACTCTAATTTGGAATTTAATGCAAAAATAAAATAGACATCTTTTCCATCTTGTACTATATAAAAAAATTAAGAATCAAACTGTATACTGAAGTGACATCGACCGCTCATCGCACTCAGTTAGAACGTCTTTATAGAAAAAACTGGTTTCACGTGTGATTCAGATCGATTTTTCATGAAGTATCTTCATGAAAAATGTTAAAGCTGTTTAAAATTGTACAGTATCAAAACAACTTGTAAGAAAATTAATGTAAAATTACATAGAAGGATAACTATATTATGACATGAGTTAAGTATCGTGTTTACTAACTCTTTTACTCGATCATCAATCTTTATTCATGTGATTCAAAAGTCTGTCTAACTAACATTCCGTATCAATATTTTGAGCTGGAAAAGTCATACTATAGTTTCATATATATACCATAAAAGAAACACATTTTTGCATTTAAAACGTATGCAGTCTAACCAGAGGTCCCAGATCTTCTGATTATGGCAGAAAATTTCTGATTTTTGAGCTTCTTTTTGCCTCGTTTCTGATCTTCTGATTTTTGGATATTTTTGCTGATTTTATGTGGAGTTAAACTGAAGTTTGGCTCATAGCGCATTTATCATAGCACATTCATATCGCTTTCTGTTTTAGTAGTAGGCACTGGACAATAATATCCCAATAGTTTGTTATAAGTCTTCCTTGTATAGATGCTTATCTCAGAAACTGCTCATTCTTCGATCGATTACAGTAGTCTGCAAGCTTAGACGTACTTTGTACATACGAGCGCTCTAGAACTGGGAAAAATTCTGAAGTTTTCTGTACTTTGTTTCCCCTCATAGAATAACTTAAGAGAAAGAAACATCTTCCAGGATAGGAAGAATTGGTGTGTTTTAGAGTTGTCTGAAACGGATTGTTTTTGAGAATGTCTATCTCGGATGCTAAAACATCGTAATTCAAATCCATTTAAATTTAATTTTTGTCCAGCCAGAATTCAACAATTTGGCATTGATGTGTTGTGATAACACACACCAACTCTTGTCACGTTCCATACTTGATGTTTGACTTCTTTTACAAACTTTGTTTCATTGTACTTCATATAGTTATTTCTTTGTAAACGGAAAAAAGAATGTAAAAATCAGAGCTGACGAGAGAATGTATGTACTATTCAAACGAAGAGAAATAAAATAGAAGTAGCAGAAAAATTCGTATTCCGATTTTTTGCTGATTTTCATCTTTTGATCCTGAGTCTAACAGAGACAGACAGAATCCCTAGTTCTTCATATTTAGTAAAAATCCAGATTACCACAGAAACTTTGATGCTGAGTTCAGACATAGTACAGTGAATTAGCATTCTAAAGTGAAAAATACTTTATTTTATACTGTAGGAAACGAACATGTTAGCCAATTCGGATTTAGAATCTTCACTTTTCTAATCACAACGGTTAGACATTATAATAATAGAATATTAGTGGTTTAGTTCTTTAAATTAGTATAATCATCACGTCATCGAACTGATCTGAATAAATAGAACGAAATTAAACGACATTACACAGTGGACAGCCGTGTGGATATTAGGTGAAAAAACGAAAGTGAACTTTGAGCAAATTCAAATAGCGGAACATATACTTCGGCAAACGCTGTATCTTTTGCCATTGGAAGTTCTTTTCTAGGTGTTATAATTAGCGAGAAAGCAGAGAATCAAATTTTTGTCGGAAAACAGAGGAATGATGCGACAAAAATTAGTTTTGGTAAAACAGAGTCTGATGTTTGCAAAACTTTTATGTAGTGCGAAACTAGATCTTCCACTCTATCTACTCATTAAAAAAATTTGTTTTTGGACGCTTTATTACCGAAAAAGATTTTCTTTCTGTCCTAAGTGCTTTCCAAAGAGCAGACCTCAATATAGTCGGTTTCTGATTTTTTCCGAAGCTCCATATAACTTATCCATTCTAGGGCGCATACTTTTAAATTCAATTGATTTCTGAGGCTGAAGCCTGCGTAGCTCAAATATTTTGCCTGGGTTATGAAATAATTAAAAAGAAGATCAGCACATTTAAACACTTTTTTATAGGTTTTCGACGATACTCTTTCCAATGATCTGATTTTTGAGTTTTGAAAAGGTTTTCTCAGTGGTTTTCTGAAGACTGAATCGCCGTGAAACCGCCTAGAAAACTATTCTAAAACTTAAAAACCCTTCTACTGGAAAGAGCATCGTGCAAAACCTATAGAAAAAGTGTTAAGACACTTTTACACCACTTCTAAAGCTCATGTCCACGTGCTTAGCCAGAGTTGACTACTGTACATTATTATACTTTTAACAGGAATTAGACTGACTAAAATTAAGTCTAAAATACTTATTGCTATTTTAGATGTTGAGAACAATTTTTTGTTCACGTTGTCTACTACAAACAATATTAAATAGTGTAAAACAACAGCTTAATGGTACGTATACTTGATCGGTAATCGTTGACATGATGATGATTTGTATTCATTATTTATTTCAGTTCACTATCGTTTAATACATTCAGAAAACTTGGCTAAGTTACAAACGAATGAAGATGAATTACTTAGTGCAATTGCGCATCGCGAACTTTTTGAAGGTATACTATTCACCATTTATTATAAAACAACTAGACTACTATTAATAAATAAGATTTGTATAGTTTTAGAACAGTTTTCTGATCAACGGAGATCTCGTAAGAGTTCAACACTTAGGCCAGGGCGTTCTTCAACACCACCGTCCACAACAACGTCTAATTTAAAGTTGTTGAATCGTCCTACTTCGAATATAAATAAGAAACAAACAATTAGGACTAAACAACACCAATTACCGGACGTCATAGTAACTGAAAAAGTAAAGAGATTTTTCATCAATTTATCTCTATCTTTATCTCTGTCTCTCTCTCTCTGCTTAGCCACAGATTGATTTAGCGCATCCAAAACCGAAAAACAAACGTGCCATATCTGTCTCATCTACTTCAGCACTTACCTCACCACTAGCTGAAAGTAGGTAAAGGTGAAATGATAGTAGAATTAGAATAATAATTCTGATTACTTTAGTCCCATCCGAAATGAATAAACAGCACAATATAGAAGAACAAAATCGTCTGAAATCTATTAGTCAAAGATTAAATATAACCGCTCCACCACCATCATCCTCTTTTCGATTAACACAACCAGAAACACTCTCAAGTGACGAAAAACGGAAAGATGATATATTGGAAGATGAATTTCGAACAGAAGATGAAAAAATTTTAGTAGAATTATTAGGTACTTTGGATTTAAAAAAAGTTCGACAAATGCATAAATATACAGATGAAGAATTAAAAATTATGAGAAAGCATCAAACGTTTAACGAGATATTATTAGCCTATGTTGATGTGTCGATTTATAATGGGAAGGTATGTAGAGCAACTAATTGTAGACAGCTCCTAACATTTTCTCAGTATTTCAGTCATAGTTAACACTTAATGGACGGGAAACGTATTTCTACGTGTTTTTTCACATAGAAGTACAAAATATACCCGTCCATTAAGTGTTAAGTGTTAAGTCAATTTTTGTCAGAGAAAAATGATATCGAGTAGATAGATCTAACATTTCTCTACCTGTTTCTGTGAAAATTCATTAGCGTTAATTAGTTCTAATCAATTTTTTGTGAGTATGCATCAGTTATTCATAATTTCTCCATTTGAAAGAATCTCGAACAGAATGGTTGGACAAAAGTAGAGCATTTTTTTTCAACGGTGAAGTTTCACATTTTAAGTTAAAAGTTGTAAAATTGTAAAAAGTTCTCTACTACATCTTTCATTTGGATATAACCTTAATTAATCAATTAGAAATTATGAAAATAAAAGAAAATCGTTTTTTTCTTCCTGTTTTCTTCTTTGAGCTAATTACGAACATTCAACTATTTTTTTCATGGAGAAAATTTTGGTTACTACTTGCAAAACATACGGAATAGACTAAAAACAACTTCTATCATCTCTTAGAAGCCTCTTTTACTAATTAATAAAAATAATTCAAAATTGGAAGAAACGAATGAAATGTAACCATGATAAGATGTTCAAAAGATAGGAAACTATTTAGAATTATCTCACGATGCTTTATGTAATGATATCAAATATCAGATCATGTTTAGTAGTGATAATGATGTTTATTTTAGCTGAGAAAAGTGAGACAATTTTTTGATAAACTGTGTCTTGATCAAGAACGTCGAAAAACTATGAAACGTTTATCATGGAAATATCCGTCAAATGTAAATATCTATAATACAATTATGTTTGCACACGCTGAAAATGTAAGACTTTGTATTATCTTCATATAATAAGACAATTTTTAATTTTATGTCTATTTTCAGGGTACACTACGTGCTGTTCAAACATTATTTGAAAAAATGCGTTCTAGTCATATAAAACCCACATTAGAATCATATGCTGCTGTCCTGACTTGTCTCGGAAATCTAGACATGTTTGATCCAACAATAGCTAAACGAATTATATTTGATATTGAAAAAAATGTAGGATTTTTTCATTGTGTCATCTTCTATCATTTTTAGATTCTCGTTGATTAGTGTTTATATTTTCCTTGTAGGGATTTCGTGTATCAGACATATTTCATTTGAATTGTTTAAATAACGAACAAATTCGACGTATTTTGAAAGTAAGAAAAACAAAAGAATAACCTTGCAAATAGTGAGATATATTTTTTGATATTTCTCAGGTTTTAAAAATATTGCGTCCAGATTTTAAAGTGCCACCAATTCCAGACGAAGTTCATACAAAATTATTACAAAATGTCTACGAACAACCATCACCAATTGTAAGTATCGAATTTATTTTATTTTTTCGTTGTAAGAACAACTGAATCCAATATACTTTATACTGCTTAGACTGATAAGTCAAATATTCAAGGTGATTTATGGTGGAAAAATATTAATTTTAAAGAAAAACTAGCAAAACAACTTCAATGGGAACAAGAACAAAAGGTCGTTTTTAAGTCAATTAGCATTACAAAACAAGTGAATGATCATTATGTATGTTAGTGTCAGTAATACATAAATATTATGTTCATATGATATTTGAATTTTAGGTAGATAAACAAAAACAATTGTACATGGAAATGGAACAACAACTAATCGTGGGATTTTTAACAGAACTTGAAATTCTGAAACGAGAGACGGGTAATATATAACTCATACAAAACGATTATTGACACTGACGTTTAGTTTTTCTTTTCAAGAGCCAGACAAATTGAGTATTATACCATTTTTGGAAATATTTGACGCAAAAGAATATATTCAAATAGTAATGAAGGTATAATTACGTTTAATATAAACTTTTTTACTGTAGATATTTAGTCGAGTGATACAATTCCAATGCATGATAATTTAGAAACCTGAATACGAGTCTTCTGATCAGAATCTTTCACCAAGATAAGAGGTTCGATTATTTCTAAGTCAAACTCAAGTGCCACAGAAAAGTTTTTACTTGAATAACAATAGTGTCTGGCTAATTATTTATAATAATTATTTATACAGTTAACACATCACATATTAATGAGAATAAAAACAAAAACATCAAATAATATTACGAATTAAAATTATATTTTAACAATGTTAAATGTGAAAGTGTATCTTTTGACATTGTAGCTCTATGGAGTCTCATACAGACTTTCCGAGCAGGGAGGGTCTGGTTCCATCCTAAAAACGTTTTTGGGCTTTCCGGCAGAATCGTGGACATTTTTTCACAAGCAATTTTCTGCCAAAAATCACAGATCTTATCTGAACACTTCAAATGTACTTGAAAAAATCCTCGAGTTGAAGTCAAAGTCCGTCAGCAAGCGGTTCAAGTCCGAAGTTGCACTTGCCTATCTCTGGTAAAAATAATCCTATGCAGAGATTTTTTAATGTTGGGAAAGATTTCTTGTTTTACTGGTTCATTTTTCTTGCAAATTGAGATGTTCTTAATCAGAAATGTAATTTATAAGTTCATTGTTTCCTTTTTTCTCTATTCAAAGGAAGTGAATGGTCTGTTTTATGGATCAGATTATTATAGTTTACCGTATAATGTTCTTTGCTCAAATTTGGGAAAAAGAATACATCAACGATATTTGACAGATGTCAGAAAAAAAAATGGATTTTTAGACAACGTAAGATTGACTAAACTATTTTTAAAAATAGTTCAAGACGTTATCGAATTATTTTTTTTTAAGTTACAATCTATTTATCAAGAATATATTGAACATTGTGTTAGTAATCAACGTTTTATTAAAAATGAAAGACAAAAATGGAATGAAATTGTTACGAACCACTTTACGTTTATGGTAATTATAATTAACCTTTTAATTTATTTATGGATGTGGTGATCGTTAAAGCTGACCCACTTTAACTCTCTCTCTCTCTTTTCGTCTGTCTAGGATCGTTCATATCGACCATGGTCATATGTTCAAATATGTCAAATAGGCGATTTCTTCTATCGTGTCATGTTGAAATATATGAAGTTAACAGTACCATTATCATCACAGAAAAGAAATACAATTAATAAACGGTAAGATAAATGTCTATTTTATTGTAAATTGTAAAACTCTATCGCTTTTAGAGAAGCAAATTCTATTCTCCATGTTGTTCATCGAACACCTGGCAAATATACTGAAAAACAGATCAAAGTGTGTTTCATTCTTTTCTTAGTAAATGTCAATTTTTCTCAACAATATTATTTTAGGTTCATCCAACAGTTTTACGATTCTTTGCCCATTTACCAGAACAACAATTAGAATTTGACTGTACTGAATTGCCTTGTCTTGTACCACCATTACCGTGGATAAATTGTCATACGGGTGGTTATCTATTAAATCAAACAGATTTTCTTCGTTTACCATTATCTGCTAATCAACAAGATCAATATTTAAAGTCAATATCGGTACAACAAATAGGTGGTGTACTAGACTCGATAAATGCTCTAAATTCATGTCCATGGAAAATAAATCAACGCATATTAGATACCATTATCAGTATATTTGAAAAAGGTGGAGATAAAACTTTCTCAGTTCCATTATCGTTAAAGAATCCCAGTATACCGGACATGGTTCATATAGATAAAGGTTTATCAAACGATGAAAAACGCCGTAGAGAAAGAGAACGATTCAAATTAGTAAAACAACGAGCAGAAATTTTTAGTCTATGGTCAAATGAATTATATCGATTATCTATAGCGAATCAAGTAAAGATCTACACTACATAGTTATCGATATGGTTTATATTTGATTTCAATTTTAGTTTCGAAATGAAATATTTTGGTTTCCACATAATCTAGATTTTCGTGGTCGTGTTTATCCCGTTCCCCCCCATTTCAATCATTTAGGTTTGTGTGTGTGTGTGTGTTAAGTTGCACTCGATGTAATGAACTGACCTATACTTTTAGGTAGTGATATCGCTCGAGGACTTATATTATTTGCTGAAGGAAAACCATTGGGTGCAAATGGATTAAGACGATTAAAAATACATTTAATTAATTTGACCGATTTGAAAAAACGTCAATCGATTAATGAAAGAGAACAGTATGCCAATGAAATTATGGACGACATCTTAGATTCTGCTGATAAACCATTGACTGTAAGATGCGTATAAGTAAAATTGTATGAAAACTAAATTTATTTTTCTATTATTTAGGGTCGCCTATGGTGGTCAAAATCAGAAGAACCATGGCAAACATTGGCTTGTTGTATGGAAATTGCCAATGCAATAAGATCTCCTGACTCGACCAAATATCTATCATATTTTCCTGTTCATCAAGTAAATAATTTTTATGAATTATTATATACAATTAAGTAAATATAATCATCTGTTTCAAGGATGGTACATGTAATGTACTTCAACATTATGCAGCCATGGGTTTAGATGATGTTGGTGCGGCATCGGTAAATTTAAAACCATCAGATTTGCCAAAAGATGTTTATAGCGATGTTGTTGAAATGGTATATATTTTATTTTTATTGAATAGAGATTATTTTAAAAAAATATCTATTACGTATTTATAGGTTGAATTAGAACGTCAAAAAGATGAAGAATTAAATATTGAAATGGCTAAAATTTTAAAAGGTTTTATTAAACGAAAAGTAAATCACTATTCTAAAATTCTGTTTTTCTTTTTTTTTTGTTTTTTTCTATATTATTTTTTTATATTACTTTTAGGTAATAAAACAAACAATTATGACCACAAATTACGGTGTAACAATGTATGGTGCTCGACAACAAATTGGTCGACAATTACGTGATATTGAAGATTTTCCAAAAATTCATGTCAGTGAAGCTAGTACCTATTTGGCAAAGAAAACATTTTTATGTTTAAGAGAATTATTTCGCGAAACAAAAAAAATTCAAGTATGTTTCTTTTAAAATTTGAGTAATTGTATTTTTTTTTAATTTTTTTTTTTAAATTCAAACAGGATTGGTTTAAAGATTGTGCTAGTTTAATATCAAGAGTGCGTGGAACTGCTGTTGAATGGAACACACCTCTTGGTTTACCGGTCGTTCAACCGTACTATAAAGAAATAAAAATAAAAGTAACAGTTTATTTTGAAAATAAATATAAAAAAATTTGGATATTCTAATTTTGTTATATGTTTTTTTTAGGAGTCTGGACACGAATTGATGGATTATTTTAATATGAATTCGTACGTAACTGTTTTTCACTGTTAATAACACAAAACTAAATCGTTTTCTTTTTGTTTGATTTTTAGACGACCAAATAATATAAAACAAAAAAATGCATTTCCACCCAATTATGTTCACTCATTAGATTCAACGCATATGATGATGACAGCACTTAATTGTGCAAAGTAATACATCATTTTTTGAATGATTTATTAGTTTATTTTAATATTTTTTGTTATTTTAGAAATGGTATTACATTTGTATCTGTTCATGACAGTTTTTGGACACATCCATGTGATGTAGACATTTTAAGCAAGGTAAATAGATTTATGTCAATATTGGAACATATTTCAGTTTTTATCATATTTTTTTATTTATAAATAGATTTGTCGTGAACAGTTTGTTGCACTACATAAGGAACCATTACTAGAAAATTTATCACAAGATTTTACTAATAAATTTGGATTTAAATCAAGGTATGCTTAGATTTTTGACATAGGATGCAAAAGAACTGGAAAAAATGTCGAATCTTATTTGTGAAATTATTTTATTTTATTTTGTTTGCAGAACGAAACAGGCTACAAAAGTTTAGACTTGAGATTCGTTTTGTTGAGATAAAATTCAAATATGAAACAATACTGAAAACATCTTTACAGCCTGTTTTTTCAATACTTTCCGTCGCGTGTTTTGGAGTTTGAACTAAACATAGCCGCAAATAGACCTTAGTTTGCAAGCTCTACCGAACAATGTATTTAAAACTTAGTTTTCGTTACGTTTTTGATGGGAAAATTCAATTTTTCAAAATGCCCCACCGACTGGAATATCGGTTTAGTAAAAAGTTCAAAACGGAGAAAGTTAGTTTGTTTACAAAAGCATCAAAAAATAAATGGAAAAAAATTTCAAAAGACATTCTTTGGATAGAGCTTTTTTATGATCTATCCAATAGTATATTTCATTTATGACTCATAGGTTTAGGAATTGTATTATTCGTAAAATTAACTTTTCTAGTGTTGCGGAACTTGTTTAGTGTCAAATCGAAAAAATGTTCTCGAGAAACACAAATTGATCCAGCAAAAAATTGTTTGCTATGAAAGATTTTTTCTCCAGACTTTGTTCTTGCGAACATAAAAAATAATTCAAGCCCATCCTACGTCCATTGTTGAGAACTAAGATTCGATATTTTTTCCAAGACTTTTGCATCGTATGTTAGTTAAACTAAATTTATTCTTTGAGTTCATTTGTGTAATACTTTTTATCTCTGCACATTTGTCTGATATCGTATTTGTTTAATTTTGCTCAGTTAAAAGTTAAAAGTAAGTGGAATGACACAAATTAACAAAAGCAATTATCTTACATTCAGTCAAATTTGTTCAACTGCTGACATTTCGTTTCGTTTTGTTATAGTGAGTTTAGCAAAGCCGATGAAACTCAAACTAAAACAATGAAATTAATAAATGATACCATTCATCGTGTACCTGAACGTGGCATATTTAAATTAGAAAGTGTTTTAGATTCAACTTATTTTTTCAGCTAAACAAGTGTGCGGACAGTATTATTTTGGCAATTTTTAGAATTATGAGAAAAAATTGTGTGATAGGAGTTCGTTTTGTATCTTTGTATGCGATAGATCTATTTTGTTTTTGTTATTTCTTTATTATTAACCGAGTGATATAGTTTTCTTCTTTGTTTAAAACTTCTTCTATGTATGAGTCATTTTAATACATACGTAATATTTTGTTTTGTTTAAGAGTTGAAAAAACTAACTCAAGGACTTCTTTTAATGTTCAATATATTGAACATAGTAAAGCATAGTAGATTGTTTAATTAAAAATATGTATTAAAACTTTTGTTTCCTCTGAATTTCATCATTTATCAACTTGTTCTACTGAACAAACGAGCGCATGTACACACAATATTAAATGTCTTTATAAAACTTTTACAAAAGTTTTGTCAAACAAAAAACGAAAAAAGGTGGTGTGCATTTGATTCATTTCCAACTTTATTATCTATTTTAGCTTTGAAAAACAGTCTACCCAACACGACGTTATCAGTCTAAACGAGCAAAATATATTGATTAAAAAACAAAATATAGAAGAAAAATTTCAATTCATTTTCAATATATATTTAATTTCATATCGCATTGGTTGTATCAACTACTTGGAAGTGTGTCATTACTACTTTGAAATCAATTTCAAGAAGATGCTCGAACTTTGCTGATATTTCTTCCCTATTGACCTACTTCTTTTCATCATGGATAACTCGATTGCATGTCTTAAATCAATTTAAAGATCTATGTTCAAAGGTAGTATAAAAAAGAATGGTTGACACGTTTTTTCGTTTCTTTTTAATTAATTGGCAACAACAAAAGATTGCATATGAAGAACAACAATTCTTCCGAATCAAGAAGATGAAAGAAAATTTTTTATTCTAATAATAGTCAGTCAGACAACAATAGTATTTTGAACAACGAGGGAAAAAAGCAATCGAAAATCGATGAGATGGATCTGCATATGACGGCCCTGGATATGGGCATTTTATCGTACGAGTTACTCAAAAAAGTAGTATTAATAATATATGACGCAGACCCAACAACGTTAATGAACATTTACTGGAAAAAAGACCACTAGAAAGTACATAAAAAACAATTGAACGCAGTAGCGTAATGTGATAATGTAACAGAAAATATTATATAAAATTAGTAACAATAAAATAATAGGTTACATTAAGAATTCACTGAATTACTTCGAAGAAATACTAGCCCAGTTTCTTTTTCTGCTCGACGTTTTTTACTTGCAGATGATGGTTTTTTTCGTGGTTTATTTGCACTTGGTGGACGCTTTAAAAAATAAATGTTTTTATAAAAGAGATGTTAAATTAGTTATGTACTACTTTCAATTTATGCTTACGTTGTGTGAAAGCATTTTGTCTTCTAAACTTCGTAATGATGTAACAAGACGAGCAATTTCTTTTCGACAATCATCTAATTCTGCTTCACGTTTTTCTCGTTTATCACGTTCATATTCTAAAGTTACATTTAATTCATCTATGGTTCTAAAAAATATGTAAATATTTGATTTACACATAAAAAGTCATAATTTATTTCTTCTAATGAGTATTAATAAAAGTTTACTTTTGTGCATTTTGTTCAACTGTTTCACGTTCATGATCTTCTTCAGAACGGCCACCTAATTGTCGATAATTTTTTTTCGCTATATCTAACATTTTTTCTAATTCTTCAACTTTCGTCTTTGCTCTGCCTACAATTTGACATATTCTAACATAAACAGTCAGAGTTAAATGCTAACTCAAACCTTTTTCTTCGGCTTTTGGACTTCTCCTGGCTTCTTTTGTGTTTGAACTATCACCTCGTCTGAGCTCGTCAACATTCGATTCATCTGCAATAATAGTACAAAAATAAAGTTTTTTTTTTCTAAAATACATATTAGTTTATCTACGTTCATACTTTTATCGCCGCCAAGTACTTTTAAACATGCTAATTGTCCAAATCTTCTAGCAACATCTTTGCAAGTTTCACCAGAATTTGTTGCTATATCAGTTGCGGCACCCATTTCTAATAACCATTGAAGAACAGTCAAGTGTCCTTGGCCAGCAGCTAAATACATAAACAATAGATACAATAACTTTACTGCTCGTTTGATCTAATTATCTATACCTTTATGAGCCATTGTTGCTCCTCGTTCATCGCGTTCATTTATATTCACAACACCTTGTTCAACAAGAAGTTTGACATGATCTAAGTCACCATTATAAGCAGCGACATGGGCAGGAAATGCCAAATCTGTTTATTTAATTAACATATTAGATGACGCTGAGATAGACGTTAATGTTTTCTTACTTTCAGCTTGTTCAGCATTATCCTTCTCCCATTCTAACGCATCAAGATAATTCACACAGTCTTCTTTGTAAAACTGTTGTGCTAATGATTTTGGTGTATCACCCTACACAAAAAATATTCTCTTAGGAAACAAAATAGTATTGGAGGACTAAAATGTATGGTCATACCTGATCATTTCTTGCTCCGAGAGTAGCCATGATATCGCGATTAACAGAGACAATAAACTTCAAACACGGTAAATGTCCTTCCATTGCAGCGAGATGAGCTAAAATGAGACAAAAGATATGCATCGGTATATACGAGAACAAGATTCGATGAAATAAAATGTACGTTACAGAGAGCATTTTTATTAAAAAGTTCATCAGTAAAACATTTTTTGAAATTTTTTACATATTGATGAAATTTGTGAGAAATCAAATCCGAATGAGAAGAAATGTAGGTGTTCGTGTGGTTTTACCGGCTATATTTCCTTCATTATCAACATCATCTAATTTTCCTCCCCATTTCACTAGTAGTTGTAAACATCCTAATCTTCCATGATATGCAGACGTGTAAGCTGCGGACCATCCATTAATATCTTTGTGATTTATATCCTATATTATCAAATAAAATATGTGACTGATTCTGGATAGTAAATTACAAGACAAATACTCACAGCTCCACCACGTAATAATGTGTGTAAAACGAATGAATTACCATGTGCACATGCCACATGTAAAGCCGTTTGATTTCGTCGATCTCGCACGTTCAAATTGATATTGTTATTGATTAGTGCCTAGAAAATAAATGCTCAGGTTTAATGTTGTTTTATATAGAAGATGGTTATCTTTACTTGCATACACGCATCATTGCCCCGAATTGCACAAATATGTGCTGGCTGAAATTTGTAATAAGTACAAGGTTTTTATCAAGCAACACTTATTCCTTTGCATTAAATACTCACGGTCCAGCCTTTTGTAGTTTGTGCTTCAGCATCCGCTTTTTGCCATAATAACCAGTGCATACACTTGAAAATAAAGGAAAAGAAGATATTTCTTTTATTCGATTCATGGTAGAAGCACTTTGACTATCGATTCATAAGGAAAGCGCTAATTTATAGTTGATTTTTTATTTGCACATCTTCACAGTATATTATACCCACAGCAGGCAATCTTATTCGCGAATGTCTTGCAGAGATTCGCAAATCTTTCGTCCTGTAGTTAATGGTGATTGAACAAATAAAAAAAAACTCACTGCTAATGAGTTTGAATATGCTGCCCAGTGTAACGGCGTAAATTTATCATCATTATGATCTACTTGATTCACGCTGGCACCTCGTTGAACCATTTGTTCCAATTCTCTAACATTGTTTGTTCGAACAGCATCATGAATCGTTTTTGTTTCTTCAAAAAAATAAAATAGTCGACTACTTATTTTTTTGTAACGATGAATGTGATCTTACGTTGTTGACTTTTACTCTGAGTCATCTTATTTATCTAAAATATGCATGTTCTTAGAATATTGTAGCAGTACTGTCGCTGAAATAGAAGATCACAAAGAGTCTAATCGTAGAAAATAAATATAAGCCCTAATCATAATGAAACTATTTACATGTAAAAATGTAAAAGATTACACTGTTGTTTTATCTCAGTTTTTAAAACTTTAGCCGATTTTCCTATTGTGAATTAGAGTTCATTTAAGGAATGGTGAATATTGATTGTTAGCGTAGTTTCTTTCATCTTCGTTCGCTATGTTGCTAGGCAGTGACTCTTCCTTATCCATTATGTTAATAACTTTAGTGCGTAAATATTTCAGTTTCTTTATAGTTTCTATGAATTTATGTGGATGGACAAAAAATGGATAAAAGGCAATGGGGAGAACGAAAAAAAGAAAGAAAGAAAGAAAGAAAATAAAAACGTGCAACGATACAGATGTGCGCACCTTTATTTTTAAGTTTGTAGATAATGACCTATTTCATTGTCCGTAATTCGCATGCTGTTAGCAATATCAGATTTTCAGAGTAACTTCAATTGTTGGTATGTACCTTCGATTACTATCTTGACTTAACCATTCCGACAGGAGGTAGTAGGTTGCAAGATTTACTTTATATGAGAAATTAAATAGACGACGAGTGCAAATTTTGTCTTATCGGCGTTCCAAACAAGTGTTTAAATACGAGGTTACACATTTTCGAAAATTTTTTTTGTTCGTTAACTGAGATCACAATACAGAAACTTCTCATGAAAATTTTGATATATTCGCTCCTAGTATGAAGAAAATTTTGGAACTTTGAGCTCCAAAACTGTTCAGGTATGTATTTTCAACTTGACATCAGTGACAAGAAGCAACGGAGAAGAAGTTCAAAAGTTGTTATATATCTTGTTTAACATTCTTTGTACTTCGTAAGAAAATGTACCATTTCATTTGGCACACCATCCCACCCTGAACTCTTGAACGGTTCAATATTATTAAGCTGATATTTTTACTACAACATCTTTGCATTATTTGGTTGAATTTATAGGTCGTTGTAATTTAATAATATTGTTTACCTTTTAGATTTTTATATGGAGCCTGGGCCCGTTCAAATTGTGTCAATTACCGAGGATCATAAATTTATACTCGATGAAAAAAAGTTAAAAGAGATTTTGTATCATCACAAAGCACGAGAAAAAAAGGTATGTCATAAAACCTTGTCTCTTGTTCGATAATAGACACTGCTTTTTTTCTTATTGTTGACATTTTCAGGTAGCACTTGTATCGATAGCTGGCGATTTTCGAAAAGGCAAATCGTTTTTACTTGATTTTTTCTTACGTTACTTACGAGCAAAAGTAAGTTAAAAAAAGTGTTTCGTTTGCCACTCTAGTTGACCAGATTGTACTTATTTAGGATGCAAAAGACTGGATGGGTAAAGAAAATGAACCATTGAGAGGATTTGATTGGCGAGGTGGAGCAGCAAGACATACAACAGGAATGATAATGTGGAGTGAACCATTTTTAATGTCAATGCCTGATGGTGAAGAGGTATGATCGTTTATAAAAGAAGATTGTACAAAAAGTAGACAAACTTATTTTGTTATTCTTATCTAGGTTGCCGTACTATTAATGGATACGCAAGGGACGTTTGATTCGAATTCAACAGTATTTGTCAATGCATTTATATTTGCATTGACATTACTAGTTAGTAGTGTTACTGTCTATAATATTATGCATAATTTACAAGAAGACAATTTACAACATTTATCATTTTTTGCTGAATATGGAGTATTAGCCATTGATGCGTATCAAACATCACCATTTCAAGTATGTTTTGTACTTGTTAAATTCAATTGAATGAATTAATTTCTTAATTGTTGTATGCTCTGTTTTTAGCAATTAACATTTTTAATACGCGATTGGCAATTTGAATATGAAACACCTTATGGTTTTGCCGGCGGAGAAACAGTTTTATCGGAAAGATTAATTGTATGTTTAAGTTAACTTTATCCTCTTTTTTTCTCTCCTTAATCTTAATTAGATATTTGTTTGTACTTAGATTCGTCCAAATCAACATCACGATTTAGAATTAGTTCGATCACGTCTGAGACAGTGTTTTAGAAAAGTAAATTGTTTTCTTATGCCACATCCAGGGTTAAAAGTAACAAATAGACGAGATTTTGATGGAAAATTAGAAGGTACTGTTTTTTTGTATTTTTTAATAATAATAAAAAGCATGTTTTACGGACGTATTTAGATATTGAACAAGATTTTAAAGATCAATTAGACAAATTTGTACCAGATCTATTTCGATCTGACAATGTCAATTTTGTTAAAGAAATAAATGGAGAACAAATAACTTCCACACAATTATTTGAATATTTTCGAGTAAGAATTATTTTCATTATTTTTATTTTTTATAATATTTTTTTATCATTTCTTTTCTAGACTTATTGTGCCATTTTTGCATCGGGCGATTTACCCTCACCTAAAGCCATGCTAGAAGTATGTGATAAAAAGATTTGTCTTTTCAGTTAAATAACATGTACTTGAAATTCAAAATATTTTGGGGACTTAATTGAACTTCCGCAGAGTTACTGATATAATTATAACGAAAAAATAATAGATTAACTTTTGATAGACTTTGATATTTAAAAGAGATCGTTAGATGTACTGATTTTTAATTACTTCATCATCTTGATACCCTATATGAGTTAATGTCAAGCAAACTAATGAACAAAGTTTTTTTCACCATATTAAATAAGTAAATTATTCGACTTATAAGTAAAATTTTTGTCAGTGATATATATAATACTTAGCTAAATGGCGCCACCATAAATAGTTTCAATAAAAAAATTTTAACACTAAAACAAATGTTTTTTTTAGTTTTTCGAATATCGATCTTTTTTTTCATAAGTAAAAATATTAGTTTAAGCTTTTATTTCTTACAATGCATTCCAATCGTGATAATTTCTATCTTAATTTGGTAGCTGATGAATATATTCCACTTACTCAGACTCAAACTGGAACGAGTAATCACAGCAGCATTCTTGGTCTGTTACGTCTAATTTTTATTAGGAAATGACAATACATTTGAGAATATTTTAGCATATACAAATAACTATCAACATCAGAGTTTGCTTTCATATCATGAAAATTTTATTGTTGAAAAGGTATATTAGCCATATATTATTCATCGTTAAAAGGCATGATTTTTTATGTTTTTTAATTTTCTTGCTTGTGCTAAATTAAGGGAGGAGAGGTCTACCTACTCGGATATTTTCCCGAAGTTTGTAGAGGACACTTTGAAATATATATCTCGAAACTTCTTCGGTTACCGAGCTGGTAGTTTTTGAGAAAAACATTTTTCACGTTTAGTCTCACTCGCGCTTTTGCTTCATTTTTAAAATTTTCATTTTTCGACACAAAATCCTAAGTCCATTGTCATTTGATAGAGAACGTCAAGATATATATACAAGATATATATACAAAAACAATTTTCATCGTTGTCGGGTCAAGTTTGACGGAAAAATTTTTAAGTTTCACTCGCTCAATTCCTTTTTGGTACGAAAAATGTTTTATCAACGTCTTGAACAAGGTTTTTATTTTAATTTCTGTAAAATTTAATTTAAAAATCGAGTTTTAGAAATTTCGACAATCCCCATCCTTGTCACGTGTAGAATTTGATCCTGAACAACTTTTGCTCCTATACTTTTCCTCAAAAATGCTTTTCTGAAGTGAAATTTGATTCAAGGCTTTCGTCTCACTTGGTAAAAAAATAATTTTTAGGACTAAGTTTGGTCAGGTATCGTAGCTCTGTCTAAGTTTCGTATTTTAAACTTTAAAAATTTACCTTTAGAAGTTGTACATTATCAACACTGTTTCCTTATACAAAACAAGATTCTGAGCAATTTTCGTTCCTACATTTTTGTTCAAAAATGTTTTCTTGACGAGAAAGTGCATATAAAACCTTAAAAAACCCTACTTTTTGTACTAAAAACCCATTGTCCAAGTGATTTTAAAATTTCATTGTCAAATCCTATTCGATAACAATGAAACGTTTTGCACATATACATCGCAATCTGCTCTATTGAATGACATCAAAAATGAATTCCAAAAATTAAAATTTAGAAATTTTATTCAATTCTTAAAAAATAGGCCAAAATAACCCGAAAATTTTTTAAAATTTCAATAACTTGTTCAGACAATGTTCCTGAGATCTAAAAAGTTCAGGATATATATTTTAAGATATCCTTTATAAACTAACAAAGTTGAGAAAAATCTAAATATCTGAACTCCTTTCCCCCCTAAAGAGGCTATGCTTTCCTGTTATGATTGTCCTTATTGGAAATATTGATTTCAAACAGTGAAATAATGTTAAACAATATTTCCTTCGATTGAAAAAGAATGTTTATCTTTATGTAAAGTGAACATGTTTTTCAAGGTGCGAAATAACAGACAACGAGTTGTAAGCTCTTATTTGTGAATAATATGATTGTGATAAAATTGTTTATATTTACTTCTATTATTGTTAGATTTTAAGTATGAATTTTTTCATGTAGAATTATTTTTATTACTTTTAAGAAGGATAATTTAACAGAAGAAAATTTTTTTATTCTTCAATAATAGTTTCAGCCTATTCTGTGTGTTATTATTATTTAGAACGTTTATAGTAACCTTTTAGGTAATATAATTTACTTGTTTAAGGCAACTGCAGAAGCAAATAATTTGGCTGCTAAAGCTGTTTCCAAAGAATTTTATATTCGTGCAATGGAACAGGTACCAATAAAGACAAGAACAACATCATAACCTTTTAAACATATTCTTTTAAATTCTCTAGCATTGTGGTGGTGATCGTCCATATATTCATCCAAGTCAATTAGAAGCATTACACAATGAAGTACGACGACAATCATTAGAAAAATTTCGTGTGGCAAGAAAAATGGGTATATTTTAAATTTGTAACGAAGATGAATATTTATCTTTGATCATATGAATAATTTGTTTATTTTAGGTGGTGAACAATTATCGCAAACATATCAACAAGATTTAGATAATGAAATATCAGAATTATATGGAAATTATAAAAAACATAATGATAGTAAAAATGTATTTGCTTTTAGTCGTACACCAACAACATTTATATCATGTATGGTTATATCTTATTTAATTGCCGGTGTATTAGATGCTGTATGGTTAGGTGGATTAAATTTTATATTTATGTTCTCATTCTGGGTATGTTTTGTACTATTATTCGTATGGCTATACACAAAATATAGCGGACAATATTCAGAAATTGGAGAATATATCGATTATTTTTCGGATGTTATTTGGAATAATGTAAGTTATTTTACCTGTTATCAGCCTATATCTCGAATAATTATTCATAGTCAAATGTGCTGCTTGTTTTGGCTGTTGACTTCGCAGATTAAATAATCATCTTTTCTTTATCTACATAGAAAAACTTTTTTCGCTTCAACGGATGTCGAAAATTTTCCAATCAGTTTTATTTCTTCCAAACATAATAAATTATTACGTCTCTTATGGAAGAGAGAGAGAGAAGTTATTGACTATGAGCATTATTCTCTCACTTTTTATTTGCTTTTATAGTGTTGTTTTATTTCTATTTTTCATTTTTGCAGGCTTTCCAACCAGTTTATTCACGTTGTATACAGTCAGCAATGAAATCTGTTTTGGGTCAAGCAACAGGTGGTCATGCAAAGGCTAACTGACAAAATTTATTTTTGGTTATTTTTTTTCCTTTTCTAATAAAGTTGTTTTCATTCTGTCAATAATTCGTTCATTATCTCTGTTTTGACCTTTTTTTTATCTTTGTTTTATTCTTGCCAGCATCATCATCGTCATCGATTATTATAGACAAAATTCCGAATGTTTTTTGTCTATAGTCACCGTTTTTGTGTGTTTTTTACGCAACAATTTTTGTATAATAGATTTTTCTCTTGAACTAAAGTATACAAACACTTCTCGTTATTCTTGGCTAGTCGGCTCAACAATATATGTCTGTGCCTGAGTGTGTGCGCTTTCAAACTTCAGCGTAGCATTAATTCGCGTATTTTTCATAATATCAATTATGTCTTTACTATTTAATGTCTTTTCTCTAACTTAACAGTTTTTTTTTATTCGTGAATATAGAGAACATAAAATTATCTTCTATGAATAAAAGTGAACAGTTTTGTGCTAATGATACACAATATGTACAAGAGAAACACAGAGCATTTAAGACGATGTTGTTCTTTTTGAATTCTTTCTTAAAATAGTTTTTTTCTTTTGTTGTTATTTATTTCTTACTTTCGTCTTCTCATATTCTTTTTATATATCAAATAAATAAACATCTATCTTAGCAGTTTTTTTATTTCAATTTATTTTTAAAAATTTAAACACACAAATATTTAATAGCAATGGATTACAATATAATTTACAACTTACCGATCATTCATTTCATCTAATTGATTTTAATTATACGCTGAAATGAAATGAAATGGAAATAATTATCTATTCGACAACTACTGATGACTTTTATAAGAATAAAAATATTTTGTGGTAGAATTATATGTTTTAGAGTAGATACATTCATTCTTAGTCATTTTCTTATTTCTAAGGGCAAGGTATTCTACATTAATTTTGTTCTTTTATATAGTGAGTTTTTTGTTTTTGGAATGTTGCGCAGCTGCCGGATGTTAGACGCTACAATTGAATAGACTTAGAAATTAGTTCGAATTTTAACATATGTACACATGTGATATTTAGTTTATATTCAATATCTATTTAAATTTTCCTAAACAAATATTGAATGTAGTGCATGGATTATTAACAAGTACAAAAAAAAATATATAAAATTACATAATAACAACAGTGGGTGGTCAAATATAATTGATTTTCTACTCAGATCAACGAGTAATAATTAAAAATAATATTTATATTTTTATCGATTGTGTTCGCGTGTAAAACGAAAAAACATATATTTTTATGGTTTATGGATTTATGAACATATTCGAACAATAGATTTAATGTATACCATTTTCTTATTTTAAAATAAAAGTTTTGTGGATTAGATACGTTTCTCTTTTACAGTAGAAAGGAATATCTCGTTTTTTTAAATTCTTCCCTGCATGTTTACTTGAAAGATGACTATTATTTTTTCCATAAGGATTCTATGTTGTTCTACTTGATTCATGGGTATTAATAGTATTAATGTTAGCAATTTTTGTTTCAAGTTTATATTAAATCCGCTTTTATGTATTGAGTATTGGAAGTTTTTTTATTGCATATTTAAGTGATGGTCTATTTGATGAATAAGTATACAATGTTCAACTTCAGAGCTTAAAAACAACCTTTAATTCTTCTATCATTGCCTACTATGTAGAAAAAACAAAACAAAAAAATCGGCCACCATACATATCCGGGTTTTAGAAGAAAATACAGAATAAAAGAAATATTACTTTTCTATTTTGTGATATTTTTATTCTCGTTTATGTTTTTCGTCGTACGACAATTATAATAAAACAAAATGAAGAACATTTTATCGATTGTAGAAAGAAGAAAAGAGAATTTTTTATTTTTTATTTTTCATGTCACAGTTTGTATGGAACGAAAATAGTGTGAGTGTGAAAAATAATCACAATTAAAATCTGTGTAAGCGCTTGTCTAACATAAAAATCTTGTTTTATTTGACAGATATTAAGACCAAAAATAAACGATAAAACCATTTTCATTATTGTGGTAACAGTAAAATAGTTTAAATCGATTGCGGTAAATTTTCTATTACGTTATCAATATTCGACTGCAGCAAAACGATTCTTTTTTATCGAGAAAAATAATGATAAAAAACCTAATTTTTCTTTTCGTGTTGCATTACTTCTTTTTCTAAAAATTTCCGTGTAAATAAATAATTTTGAAAAAGTCAGCGATGTTTGAAAACGTTTATTTGTAGATATTTACATTTCTGCGTTTACGCAAGTTTTATTTAAAAATAAAATATTTATTTTTTAAGTACAGACTGAAGAGAAAATATTGGTTTTTACTCGGTGCATGTATAAAATGAAACAAATTTTTTGTAATAAACAGGATATTATCGATTATTAGTTATTAGACGTTGAAAAAACTAGATACTAATTGTGTAAAGCGATTGAAGACTGAGAGAAAGAGCAATAAGAAACTGTATCGTATAAATCTTATAGAAAGGACGAACAAGATAATAGAATATTCCTCGGATAGTTTCACTTTTTTTAATACATCTATTTCAAATATTTTTTGCTAACGTTTTGACCGGAATACGTATGGAGTACTATTTGACAATGATTAGAAATATCAAGAGAATCTGTTTTATACGCTTGGTGTCATTCTCTGTAAGTCTACGTTTTGATTCTGTCGTTTAAAAGTTACATCTTAAGATTTAATCTTACCCTATCTACTGATAAATAGCACATGACTTTTACAAAGATTAACTAATTTGTAGATCGAAAATATGCTCATTTTCCTGATTTATTTTTAGATTATTTAGAACAAGTAATGAAAAAATAACGTCAGATTATTCACGACAATTTTATTGTTGAAAAGGTATATTAGCTATACATTAACCATCATTAAGAGGCATGATTTTTTTATGTTATTTAATTTTCTTGCTTGTGCCAAATTAAAGAAACAGTGACTATGAATACGAGTGAAAAGTGTTATTGACTTTTTCGTATTACTCAGTTGACTTAAAAAAAGAATATAAGGCTTTTATTCACTAATGGAGGCAAAAATAATCGATTGCATCGTTGTTACAGATTTGCGCTTACACGTGTTTGATAAATATCTTGGTCAAGGTAGAAGGTGTCGCATGTTTTCTGATTAAGTCTATCGTATGTGTGCTCCAGTAAATACGAGTGTTGAGAAAAAACTTAGATTAACTAACTTCAGGCCTAGATTTGAGATTTTAAACAGAAATTTCTATGAGAAACTTATACCTAGCTTGAATAGTTTAAGCGCATATGAAAAGTGTTTTATCAATCACTATGGTTTCGTATGATTCTGTATCTTGCAGTATACACCTGATGAGTCAGAAAAAGTTTACGCCATGACTTTTGTTTATAATATAACTTTGGATCATCTTTGCTAACGATCTTTTTTTGCGAATAATATATCAGTGGTAGTATGAGATTTTTACTGAATTAAACTTAAAAAAAAGATTTTTGGCCCACAGCTATTCTGAATTACAGGAAATCAACATTCATATCCTTTTATCGCACTAGTAGGCCGGTTTACATCCAATAACAAAATACGCTTTTTATAAAGTGAAGAAAAAAGATTTTAAGAACAAGTCTGTGGCAGATCGCAGCGCATTACTTTGGTCACGCGAGAAATTTCTAGAAAGCAAAGTTGTTAGTAATTAGTTACATGCACTTTAATAAAAATTGTAGTTACGTCAGTGCACAAAGTCACCTTCAAACTCGAAAGATGTAAGACTTGAGTCAAACTATGACTATGAGTGATCCTAAGCGAAGAATATCGTCCAACGCGCGTAGAAGTTGATGAAATATCTTTTATCGGGAACAGAACTCCATCCATACAGAATACAAGTCGAACACTAGGACCACAGAGGACCAAATGGCAACCTTATAAGGGTCTGTAAGTAATTACTAACAACTTTGGTTTCTAGCTTATTCACCAGTTAGGATTCTGGTTAAGTAATCTTAATTTCGAAAAATTCCTCTTTACTATATATCTATCACTTATATGCTAATAATTCAAAGAAAAAGACGAGAAAGTTAAGCGAAAAAGCCGACTATTGGCACAAAAGAATGCCATTGAGTCACATTGAGTCATACATTAATTTTATCATTCGTTGAAGAGCACTTGATTTGTATGACATACTTATCGCATGACAGATTAAAATTTTTTGAATAAATATACTGTTTAATACTATTTATCACATACTATGTCATGTTTTGTACCCAAACACCTCAAATATTATAAAAGTAACTAATACTTTTAGAGAAGATATGTTTTTTCTACTTCTGCTAAAATTTTCAAGTGTTCCACATTAACTGAGGAAAATAAGAGTGTGTACAACCTTTCATCTCACTGCATTGATCGTTGAAAAAGTTTTGATGTTGAAGATGATTAGTCTATCTCGTTCATGTCAAAAAGCTTGAAAGAGTTTCTAGATATCTTTACGGTATTTGCGAGTTAAACTTTTTCATTGTGTATACGATCACATTGATGATGAAATTCGATGGAAAAAATAGATTTCTATCTTTATAAATGAAAATCTATATTGTAAGAACGTTTCCTTCAATTTTCAAATATTTTTTGGAAATTTAAAATTTAAAAAATTTGCAAGTTTACTATTTGGATTACTCAAACGTATACAAACTAATTTTCAAATACCTTGATGGAAAAAGCGTTTAGTATTGTATACATTTTTATAACTTCTATGTGTTTTCGTTAGTTTTTAGCGAGCTTTCCGTTGCTTTTTTCTGGAAAAATTTCACAGAAAAACACTCAATTTATTTTTCATAATTGAGATGGGCGTTAAAAATTGTATTATAATGTTTGATACTATATTACAATGATATTCAACACAACGAGAAATTCTCCGCAATTAAGAACTATAAATCAATGCTTTTAGACATATATAAATGTTGTACAGATTAAGTATTTGCTCTTCAACGAATGATAAAATTGATGTATGACTCAATTTGATTCAATGGCATTCTTTTGTCAAAAT